GCCCACAAAAAATAAAAACAAAACCCTTGCCAATTTCATTGGTGGAAAATGTCCCTTGTTTTCATTTGCTTGAGTTTTCATAAGGCTTAGCATTTTATTCTCTACCCAGAAGCCAAAGGAGTCCTTTTAAAAAGTAAGCCAAATCATGCCATGCCTTTGCTCAAAATCTCCAGTAGTTATGTCAGAGTAAAGATCAAACTCAAAGCTCCCATAAGTGCTTTCATGGCATTATAGGAACAGTAAGCTTTCCGACCCTGTTACTTTTTGTACCAAAATTTCTCCTACTTTCTCTTCCACTCACCCACCTCAGACACACTGGCTTCTTTGCTCATATTCAAATATGGCAGCACGCTTCCTCCTCAGGGCCTTTGTACTTGCTGTTCTCTCTGCCTGGAATGCTTTCCTGGGGATATCTGCCTGGATAGCTCCCTTACCTCCTACACGTCTTTGCTGAAAAGTGACTTTCTCAGGGAGAGCTTAAACAGCAAGTCTGTATTAAACATTCTTTATCTTTCTTCCATGATTTATGTGAGAGTAATTATTACCTTCGAACATACTATATAATTGTCTTCTTTGTTTTCCGTCTCCCTCTAGCCCACACTGAAACATATGCTCTATGAGGACAAAGATTTTTGTCTGTTTTGTCCCACGGTCTGTTTTGTCCCCTTTCTGTTGAGGTCAGCGTTTGACAGATAGTACGTGCTCAATACATATTTGTTGACTGAGTGAGTGTTTTAATGTATACGTGACTGATAAGTTACTTCTATTTTTCTTTTTATAAACTTATTGTCATGTTTTTGCTTATGTCATGTCATTGTCATGTCAATTTCATTGATTTGTTTGAGCTCTTTGTATTGTAAGGGTATCAGTTATATGGCAAATATTTCCCTCCGTTTTTTCTTTGTCTTTACCATTGTGTGTGTGTTGAAAATATTTCCAAATTTGCACAGTCAAATCTATAATTTTTTTCCTCGTTTTATTAGGAGAAGTTGACAAAAGAAAAAATGTACGTTTGTGCTTTTTTTTTGAGAGAGAGAGGAAGTGTGAGCAGGGGAGAGAGCTGGGGGTGCAGAGAGAGAGAAAATTTTTTTAAGTTTATTCATTTATTTTGAGAGAGAGAAAGAATGAGTGAGGGAGAGGGGCAGAGAAAGAGGGAGAATCCCAAGTAGGCTCTGCACTGTCAGCACAGAGCCTGACGTAGGGCCTGAACTCATAAACTGTGAGATGATGACCTGAGCCAAAGTCAGAAGCTTAACTGACTGAGCCACCCAGGCACCCCTTGAAAGAAAGATTTTACTTTTAAATGTATTTGGTTAAAAGGTGAGATGTGCTTAAAACGTTTTTTTTTTTTTTTTCCCCTACACTGATTATATCTGAGTTTCTACTCTTTGTGGATATATAGTGCTTAAAGTATCTGAATAATGATTTACACTTTTGATTTATAATCATACTTATAGGATTATTTTTCTCCTTTTGTTTTTGTTTTTGTTTTTTTTTTTTTGTTTTTTTAAAGTAAGTTCTAACCCAAGTGTGGGGCTTAAACTCACAACACTGAAATCAAGAGTCACATGCTCTCCTGGCTGAGCTAGCCAGGCATCCTTCTTCTGGAGGGGTTTATTGGGCGAACAAGAAGGGTTAAACTGTTACTATAGCTGCTCCTTTTACATTGATTCAAGGAAAATGATTTGATGCACAGGATGATTACAATTATAAAACATTTTGTGTGTATTTATAGTTTTTGCATTTAGTTATTCAGTTTTAAATATATTCCTCATTTAAAATGGAAATAAAAGGTTACTAGGCTATAAATTTAAATCATTAGGCTCTGTATCACTGGAACATTTATGGTAATGGAGTCCACTTACAAATCCTATTGTGTTTGACAGTAAGTTCTTTCAAAACTGAACTTAGTTGCATACATTTATTCCACCTCCTTCCTTGAATTTTATTTTATTTTATTTTTTTTTCAACGTTTATTTATTTTTGGGACAGAGAGAGACAGAGCATGAACGGGGGAGGGGCAAAGAGAGAGGGAGACACAGAATCAGAAACAGGCTCCAGGCTCTGAGCCATCAGCCCAGAGCCTGACGCGGGGCTCGAACTCACGGACCGCGAGATGGTGACCTGGCTGAAGTCGGACGCTCAACCGACTGCGCCACCCAGGCGCCCCTCCTTCCTTGAATTTTAAATGCTAGTTGCTTAATGTGACATTTTGAATTTTTACAAATACTAATTTCATGAGCCAAATTTTAATATTATTTTATCAAGAATACTATCAGAAAAATTTAGAAATATGATTATTATGGTGCTTTTAGGAAGTAGAATGCCAATTCTTCCTTCCTTCATGTTTTTTACTTTTTGTTGTTTTTATTTTATTTTCTTAAAATTTTTAAATTGTTTTTTAATGTGTATTTACCTTTGAGAGAGAAAGAGAGACAGGGTGAGTGGGGGAGGGGCAGAGAGCTAGGGAGACACAGAATCCGAAGCAGGCTCCAGGCTCTGAGCTGTCTGCATAGAACCTGATGCGGGTCTTGAACTCAGGAACTGTGAGATCATGACCCGAGCCGAAGTCAGAGGCTTAACTGAGCCACCCAGGCGCTCCTGTTGTTTTTATTTAAAATTTAAAAATTTTATTTTATTTTGAGGGAGAGAGAGCACATGGGTGGGGGGGGGATTGAGAGAGAGAGGGAGAGAGGGAGAGAGAGAGGTTCTCAAGCCAACTGCATGCTCAGCAAGCACGGAGCATGATACAGGGCTCTATCCCATGACCCTGGCTTGGATCATGACCTGAGCCAAATCAAGAGTTGGACGTTCAATCAACTGAGCCACCCAGACGCCCCTACTTTATGTTGTTTAAAAGCAGTGCTTCTACTTCATTATTCAATTATGCCTTTTTGTTATAACTGATTCTGATGGTGTGCTGACGGATATAAAAATTTAGTCCTTTGGAACTTTAATACCATGAAAAAAATCCCTTTTATGGTATGGTGGGTCATAAAACACTTAAGTGTATTTTTCCTTTTAATATTTTTCTTCCAAGTATTCTGAAACTTTAATTAGTTCAGGTTGGGGTTATTTCCCTCTTCCCACCCACAATAAAACAAGTTATTTCAATTCTTTAACCTACACATTACTCTTCAATTGGAAGTATTTAATAATAAAGATTACGTTCATGTAATAACAGAAACCAGGTAACACAAATCTACCATAAAGTAAGTAAATTGTCTCATTCTCTGACATTAGGTTACGTGCATGGCACCAGCAGATCAGTTTAGTCTGGGTAAAACAGCAGGGAGTTAGAATTCCTGGTTTCTAATTATTCAGTAGCTGTGTGGCCAGGAAGAAGGCTTTAATGTTGCAGGATCTTTAAGATGGGCTGTAACTCTGAGGCCTGCCTCTTGCAGTTGTGAATCACTTGGGGTAACGCACAACTTTGCAAGCTGGATGTGTAAGCCTGAAAGTGGAGAGGGTTTGCAAGCCTTCCTTTTGCCTGCGGGTAGGCTGACTCAAGAGCCAGCTCTCCCCCTCCACTAGTGCACAAAGAAGCACAGCTGACTGGGGACCAAGCCAATCTAGAAGGGTCTCTGCAGACTTTGAGATAAACAGAAAGCAGATCGGAATGGCCCCCGCCCTACCATCCACAGCTACTTTCCTCTTTAAACCTCAGCTGCTCTGGGTATGAAATGAACATAAGTAAGTGCTAACTATCTTATACAGTTGTTTTCAGGATTGAAAGGAGATAATGCAAGAGAGTTTAGCGATGATGGGTGAAGATTCTCTTTTCTAACCCTTCTCTTTCTCTCCTAATGAAACCTCTCTTAAAGCCTGGTTACCATTGCTTTGAGGCAGTGGTGAATCCTCACAACCTCCTTTCAGTCAAGATGTCAGCAAGGAAGCTAGTATGACTTAAATCAGTTAAATAACACCAAGGTGTAAATGGTACCCACAGGTGGCTTGAAGGAAAATTTTGCATTCTAAAAGAGGATTAATTGACTGGAAGGGTTTCAGAAAATAGGGATTTTTTTTTTTTTTTTTTTTTTTTTTTTTTTTTGTAGGAGGTGAATAGAATTCCCTGAACCCCATCACTGAAACCACGCCTTTGTAGGATTGTCGGAGGGGAGGTCTAAAACACACGTTTAATGAATAAGCACTCGAACTAATTCACCCCCACCCCCTTCACCAAGTGGCCTCTAAGATCATAACGACCTTGGCCGTTCTTTGGTCATCCTAGGCGAATGAACCTTCGCTAGAGAGAAGGCGGGAAGGAAAGACCGAAGCTCAACTGAATTACCAGAAAGGATGTTTTCATTTGAATAAACTACCCAGTTGTTACCTCCCCACTCATCTCCGCTAACTTTTAACCCTCCTGCTGGGGCGAGATGCGGGGTTGAGGACGCGGCGAAAGGGGTGCCGGAGGCCCGACCGTCTGGGGGCTCCTCCTCTGGACAATCTCTACTGCCGCCCCCTGGACCCCGGGAGGGGCGAGCAGGGCGGAGACAGTTCCCTGCTCTGCCCGGGTCCTCCCCAAAGCCCGAGCTAGCGGAGTGGGGGGGCGGGTAGCCGGATCACGGAGGACTTGGCAGTTTCCGGGAGCTTGGGGAAGAGACCCCAAGCACAGCCCGGCCAGACGCAGTCGCCGAAGCGGACGTTCTAGGTGTCACAGACACCTCCGGGATAGAGCAGGAGCCCGGGAGGGCGGGCTGCACCGCCCCCACCTGCGGCCACGCGCCGAGTGCCCCGACCGCGTGGGCACAGTCCCCAGCCTCCCGGGGAGGGGCACCCGGGAGAGGGCGGGGCCCCGGGAGGCGGGGTCTTAAGGCTCTCGGAGGCTAAAGCCGCGCCCGGAGCCTGGCGGGGAGGCGGCGGGAGGGGCCGGGACGGCCGGAGTGAGCGGCGGCCGCAGCTGCAGCTGGACGGCCCGCGGGCGGCTCGGGCCGCGCGCCTGGAACCTCGCGGGGCGGGCGGGCGCGGTACCCCCTGCCTGGCCGCCTGCACCCGGGGGAGGCGGCCCACGCGCGACGGGACCAGCAGCATGAGCAGCGGCTACAGCAGCCTGGAGGAGGACTCCGAGGACTTCTTCTTCACCGCCAGGACCTCCTTTTTCAGGAGAGCGCCCCAGGGCAAGCCCCGCGCCGGCCAGCAAGTGAGTGGCACGCGCCGTGGGCGCCGCAGCCCGCGCCCATCGCTCCCGGGGTCCCTGAATCCACGTGTGCCTGCGAGGCTTGCTGGGGATGCCGGCTGGGAAGGAGGAGGGGGCGGCCGAGAAGGGGCTCCTGCCTTTTGGGATCCAGGGTAGTGCCTGGAGCTCGTGCACATGGGCGTGCGGACGTGCGCGCGCGGAGAGCGGCCAGGACTAGGGAAAGAGGAGGAAGGGCAGGAGACCGGGGGCCGTCTCCTACCTTCCGCGCCAGATGGCCTCTGCGGCCCAGCTTCGGGCTGCGGGCAAGCAGTTCTGAGCGTGGAGGCGTCCCTCGCCCATCCCGGCGTTTCCTCTGCGCCCCAGCAGTCCGTGGTCGGGTCCTGGCCCCGGCCCTCACTGTGAGTCGGCTCAGTGGGCACTGAGTGGCTTGGGCACCGTGTAATAGCCAGGGGTGGCGGTGGTGACCTGGCTTCCCCTACCTTCCGGGTCCGGGACTTTGGTGGTGGGGGTGGGGACGATAGAAGGCGCTCACTAGATCTTGGTTGCGGGAGTCAAGGTTGTGCGTTTCCTGCAAAGTCAAGTTTGTGAGTGCCTCCAGTGTTGTGCAAACAAGTTCCGGTGCTAGGTAAATACCAGCCGGCGAGAGCTGAGCCTTAGGCCGGTTTCTTCCTTTTTTGGAGGAAGCATGCCGTGGGAAGTAGGACTCTGGAAAAGATGGGAAGGGAACTTGGGCCGGTTTCGCCGACCGTGACCGTGTTATTCAGGGAGGCTTTCTCGAAACGGGCCACTTGGGGTGGACTTCTCAGTCTGGAGCATGAACTTGCGGCCTCCTGGCCCTGGGAACCACACCAGGGAGCCCCGCCAACCAAGCCGTGCCCACATCAGATTAGTGAAGGCTGTAATGGAACAAATTTGTTGCCCTTAAATAACATCAGGCGCTCCCCAAACTTTGCTATTAGACAGTCCTGGAGACTAGAGGCAAGGAAAATCGTTCAGGGCCGGAAGAGGAGTTATGGGAGGGGTGAGGACGGAGTAATGTGTCAGGGTTTCCTTGCCAGACCTTTTAAGTTTACTTAACCACTTTCTGAGGTCAGATTTCCAGATTCGGAAGTTCTAGTCTTCTCAGCCTCTTAACCCCCAAACCAGAAGGAGGGGGAGAGGGGATGGTGAAGGGCAAGAGTGAAGTCAAGTGCCCTTATTCAGTAAGCAGGTAATCCTAAGTGAAGTCCTGGGGCGGCAGTCCGCCTTCTTTATTGTTTCTAAGGCTTAGGGTTGCACTATTTACTAGTCACTTTGAGCGATGGCTTAGCTCAGGCTGCTGTAACAAATACCGTAAACTGGGTGACTTAAACACGAATATTTCTCACAGTTCTGGAGGCTGGAGGTGGATCTGGGTGCATGGTGGGGTTCTGGTGAAGACCCTTTCTTGGCTTGGGCTTCCTGGCTGGGAGACAGCCGACCTCTTGCTGGGACCTCAGGTGGAGAAAGGGCTAGCTTTCTTCCTCTTATAAGGGGGCCTCTCATCTTGGGGGCCACCCTCCTGGCCTCACTGCCTCCCACAGATCCCCACCTCCAAATCCTGTCACGTTTAGGGCTTCATCATTTGAATTTTGGAGTGGGGGGGGGTCCACATGGAGTTAATAGCAATTGATCCTTCTTTTTCAATAGAGTGTATTTTTTTTTTATTATTAAAAAAAATTTTTTTTAATGTTTATTTATTTTTGAGACAGAGAGAGACAGAGCATGAACAGGGGAGGGTCAGAGAGAGAGGGAGACACAGAATCTGAAGCAGGCTCCAGGCTCTGAGCTGTCAGCACAGAGCCTGACGCGGGGCTCGAACTCACAGACCGTGAGATCATGACCTGAGCCACCCAGGCGCCCCTCAGTAGAGTGTATTTTAATGGCATGTGTTTGCTGTGAAGTTTAGAAGGCAGAAACACTGTTCTTCTGTCTTTGAGGGAAGAATTAATTGCTTTTCCTTATGCTTCTTTCTTTCGCTTGGCTCTTCTTTCTTTCTTGATCTCTCCTTTGTTTCTCTTCTCTTTGTATTTTCTCCTGCCACTTACATTGCTGTCACTGCTTGACAACTTTCACTAGAATTTGACAGTGGTGGTTGCGCTGGGTTGATGTCCATTCCAGAGGCGGCTCTTGATCTCCAGAAAACTTGCTGGTTCTCAGGTTCTCCAGGTATGCAATGCTCCTTCCCAAGGGCCAGATTATCCAGGTTAGAATAGTGTGAGAATGTTTCAGTGCTTTCGAAAGTAAAAGCCTCTCTTTTTCTCTGGGTTTACAGTGTTTCTGCTTGTTGATCTAGCGTTCATATTGTTTAATACTTATTTAGCATTTAGAATTAGTCTGACATTCATTAGTATTGTGCTGAAAACCGGGACAGTAAGACCTAGTTCTTTGCTTGAAGATACTGTTCTGTATATTCTGAAGCCTTATTGCCTGTGTATTTCCCCTTCTAACATAACACATGGAAGGCGCTGACTTCTGGAACTTACTTGCCAGGTGGAAAAAGTGTTTCCAACTGAATTTTTGTGGGCATTTTGGTTAAAGTGCCTGAAGGAGTGTGTTAAATTCCTGATAGGATTTGCGAGTTAAAGAAGTAAATCTTTTTTTTAATTTTTATTTATTTATTTATTAAAAAAATTCTTTTAATGTTTACTTCTTTTTGAGAGAGAGAGAGGGACAGAGCATGAGCAGGAAAGGGGCAGAGAGAGACGGAGACACAGAATCCGAAGCAGGCCATGTGGGGCTCGAACTCACAAACTGTGAGATCATGACCTGAGCCGAACGACTGTCGGATGCTCAACCGACTGAGTCACCCAGGCGCCCCCTTTTTAAAAATTTTTAATGTTTATTTGTTTTTGAGAGAGTGCAAGGAGAGGAGGGACAGAGTGAGAGGGACAGAATCTGAAGCAGGCTCCAGGCTCTGAGCTGCCAGCACAGAGTCCGACACGGGACTTGAACCCACGAACTGTGAGATCATGACTTGAGCCAAAGTTGGTGTTAAACCGACTGAGCCAGCCAGGCGCCGCAAAGAAGTAAAACTTCTAAAGCAAGGCACTCTAAATATAGAACATTTGTTTT